AACTAGCAAATTTTACATTCTCACTTATAATGGGATATCTCATTAGAAGCCGAGAGCATAAAATTAATTGGGGTTAGTAATGGGAAAGTGTGAGACCCCCAAGAAGACACGCAGGAATCTCCTTAGGAAGACTGTTTGCTCTGATCTTTCTTCCCCCCCCCCCTCGTCTTGATGAACTTAGTGTGGAGGATCACTGCTGCCACTTGGCTAACTTGCTTAACTAGTTGAAGTATGGGAACTAAAGTTCAAGCATTTTTTTTATTAAACCGTGACTATGCAGATTTTATTGGAATTATTCTTTAACAGTGCAATAAAACTGGACTTTAGTTCCATAATGTACATTCATATAATATTCTTTACATTTGATATAGCGCCTTATCACTTCTTCGAGACATCTCAAAGCGCTTCACAGAATATTAAATTACAGGTTGCTCAGCAACAGAATTCAAATCTTTTGATTACTAAAAATGGGCATCATTTATGCTGGGTTTATGTCTGCAGGTTATGACCAGAAGTGTACCACTGTAGTGGAGGTGCTGACACTCACATTAAAAACAATGACAGTGCCTTTCTGGCTTTGGTTCCATATTATTTCCCGCTCGATGAAAAAGGCCAGTAATGAAATAACAAAGCACAAGTTGTACATGAACATCAGGTGGCTTTGCTGTCAGCTTGCTTTCTGGTCTCAGCTACTATTATTTAGATGCACCCCAGTTGCATGTACCTGCAGCTTTCCATTGTCAATTGTCAGCCACAAGCAGCAGCTTTGGGCAGCACAGGTAGAAAATGAATGCAACGGCGCACTGGATACATCTATGGCTGCCTCAAACAGGTTTCAGATGGTCCGACAATGGCAGAACTCCAATCCTGAAGCCGAAATATGACATTGAAGTGCCCCATAAACAAGCAATTACAATTTTGTTAAGGAAACCATTTGCTTAATGTGCTGTCATTGGGTTTCAGAAGGTGGAGTGGCCTTACTTGCCTCTTTAATCCACATTCAGAAGCCTAAAATAACCCTGACATTAGCAGGAGAAGTTTATTGCCAGAGGATGGTTAAGACCATCTCCTGAAGTGGTCTTCATCTCATCTCAATAGGCCTCAGCACCAGCTCTCTAAAGCTTACTTGGTTTGCATGACCCCCCTTTCAAACAACAGAAATAAGGTTTAGACTTTCCAATATCCTCTGAATTACTGATAAAAATTTGCTTCCACAAACTTTAAACATCATGAAAGTTTTGTTCCTAAATAGTTTAAGCATTCTAAACAGAAACATGCACCATTTCAACAAACAAAATCTCTCATAACTGGAAAACATAGCAAGTAGTCACAATAAAATTCAAGGACAGGATAAGAAAAGGCAAATAATTTTATTTTCCTAATGTAAATAAATCTTTGCCATGAGATCTGATTGCCATTTTCTCTCCTCTCCTGAAGGCAATGACCTTTGGTCAATCAAAACTCTATTTTAATGTTCTTCACATTGAATCATTTAAACTATTGGCCATTTACAGCACAAAAGGAGGTGACTGCTCTCAGTCTACGTTCCTGGATTCTTTTATTGGGGAAAAATAAAAAGATAACAGATGAAATGTCACCACCATTGGGAATTAAACACCCAGGAGTGTCAACAAACAATGGATGGCAATGGTAAGAAAAGTGGTACTTGAGCCAGTTCTGAATCAACCTGTAAGCGGCATCTGATTGTCAAGCATACACTCATATGCCAGTCTTAGCCTTTCTATCTTTATTTTGAATTATGTCTGGCTCTCCGTGGGATCCAAAAGGAAAAGAACTTGCGTGTGGCAGCACTGTTTAGTGTTGTGGCTACAGTTTTATTTTCATCCGTTATCATAAAATGTAGCTGGCACCAGTTTGTCCTTCGATATTTGATCGGAATCCAAATCAACGTTGAAATTATCTTGAGTCAATGAAGAAGAAAGTCGACTTTGTCCCTCAGACAAGAGCATTTTTTTAAAAAAAATCTGAATAGTTTTATCACTAAAAATAATAGATACAATAAACAATAGTAACCAAAGCAATGAAATAAATCATAAAACCAAGATGTGAACAAGACTAAAAATAAATAGCAACAATATTGATACAAAATGCACAATGTCTTAAAATTATCAATATTATTGTTAGTTAGTAGATACATCCTGATAGAGATGTTAGTGTTCAATCACCAAACAAAACCAGAGCGATATCAAGGTTCTCATTCTCAGCAATGGCCTGACAGAGTTGGGTAGTGGATAAACTTTCAGAGGACATGAGTGTCTCGGTAATTTGAACTTTGTCTCTTCCTCTTATTTACAGGCAAAATAACCCAGCTCAGTCTCTCTGCCCACTCCCCTTTCATACTCTACAAATCTATCTTGTTAGCAAAGATTATCAACATAGTCCAACGCTATACTGTGTACAAACAGAAAAGCAAAGTAGGAGGAGGGAAGACTGAAGTAAAGAGTTCCATATTTTTTCCTCTCTGGAAATTTCTCCCTCTGTTCAACTGTGGGGTGGGAGTGGGCGGGTCAGCATTTGAGCATCACTCATAAAGCATGGCATTTGAGTGGATTCACCAGTGATCATTATCACATATCACAATAAATTACATTTAAAAAATGCATGCAAATATTTCCTGCTGAAATTCCTATCTATTAGTGGTAACATTTCTTGCAAGACAACATACTAGACTTGAAACCAAATATTTGTAGAATGAAATTTTATCTGAAAGTACAGATACTTTAAATACTTGTAACAAAGCACAAGGACAAAGCAAATTATAATTGATCCTCCACTTGCTTATTAACAGAGATGTGAAGGGAAAGTGGTCACTGGGGGCAGGGAGAGGATTCCCTGCCCCCAGCCCTAACAGATAGGATGGTCCTACCAGGACAAACAGTGGGAAAGCTTGCCAGACAGTGCTGCGAATGGCAAGTTATGCAGTTTTACCTGGATCGACTCCAGCAGTATCCCAACTCACACTCTGGGGTCCCCAGGCCTTGCCAACCTACACCTATTGCTTTCTGGAATTAAGTAAGCAGGATGCGTCCTTCCAGGGAGAGAGCACAAATTCCATTCCAACAATCTATGTCTGCGATTTCCATTTGTAGGTGGGATGCATTGAATTCTCAGTTTGGTTTGGATACTCTTTAAGCATAGAGATAGGTTTCTATATGTGTCAAGACACCCAGCTGACCAAAACAAATTGACTGCCCACCTGTCAGACATCAAGTACTGGATGAGCCTTAACCTCCTGCAGCTGAACGTCTTCAAAACTAGAGCTATCCTGCTCACTGCCACCAGCATCCTCTCACCTAAGGTGCCCTCTCAACCTTCATTCCCACTCATAGGTGCAGGAGGTGTGCAATTTTAATAACAACCCTTAGATTTGATACAGCACCTTATTATGTCATTAAAATATCTCAAAGCTGTTCAAGGGATTTACTGCAGAGGTTGTCTATTCCCAGCTGTGGAAGAAAATGTCAAACAAAGATCTTACTTCGTTCTGTTTGCTATCCAGTGACCTCGGCTGGAGTGTGCACTTTTGTGGACATCAGGTAATAGTAACTTCAGGCCTGAATGTGACGCCCAATTGGAGATATAGTCAGACATACAGTCACACCTCAAAAAAATAATCACTTGATCAAGGTACCAGAAATCAATTGGCATTTATATTCTAGGAAATGTGTGTGTGTGTGGGGGGGGGGGCAGATCAAACGGGGTGGGAGTTAAAAAAAAAGGAAAATAAATAGCCTAACTTTTGAAGTCTTAAAAAAATTGGTCCCGTATTAATCTGTGTTAGGCAGAAAACAGTGCATCTGCTCTCCACCGAACACAACAGTAATATTAATTAAACCATGAAGCAAACACGATCGCCCATCACTGTCCATTTATCTTAATGCTACACTGAAATGCTTTGATTGTCTGTGGTGAACACTGCAAACTAACTCGTGATTGTAATATTAAATGACGGTGTTTATTTTAACAACACAGCTGAAGCTCCTCTTATTGCCTTACATTTGGGGGTTTAAGACTATGAGTCCCAATACATTAGACTAAATCTGGAGTGGTCATTACCGTCAAAAACTTAAGTCGCATTTACTTTGGGGGCTCCAGAATCCCCACTTGTTACTGTAATTGGATCTCTACACTTTTCCGGGTGACATTCCCTGCGATTATGGAGTATCCTCCTGTCTGCTGTGCCGACAAGACCCGAGCAGCAAAATAATAACGCATTGGGGGATTGGACAACGTCGCCTGAATAACACAGCGCGATTTGGTGCGTATTAGGATCTGAATGTGAGTCAGCGTTTACATCAAACCGGTTCATCAACACCCACCCATCCGACACGTGTTTAACTTCAGTTTTTCTGCTCAAACATAAAGGAGTTTTTCTGGTTTTTTTTAAAAAAAAATATATATATAAATGAGAGGCTTTCTGGTAAGGAATGGCATTAATCCGGGTTGAGAGCCAAGGTCAGGTCGGTAACCATACACTCACCGACAGCTCTCTGGGCACCGCCGCCCCCCCACACACCCACACACACGGGGGTTGGCTGTTGCACAAACTGCTCTGACAGTGACACCGGGGAGTAACGTACCGATGTCACTGCAGAAGGGAATGGATGTGGCAAAACTGGCAAGTGCACCCCCCCCCCCACTAACCCAGTCTGTGCTCATGCCACAGCCAGAAACCCACCCCCACAACCACAAAGCCCCACTGACAACACACAATGGGCTTTTGTAGACAGCAGAGAAATATATTTTAGACATCGTAAGCCTCGGGTCCGGTCACCTGATGTAATTCAACTTAAGCGTTTGGTTTATGGCTGATCGAGGCGAAGGCCTTCATTTTCTGCACGTGAGAGACATTTTGTAACCAAGATCTGATGGCCGACTGTTCCTTCCATCTCTCGTTGTTTAGTGGATCTCCCTCCCCCCCCCCACACACTCAGGCAAAATCACAAGAGATAAACTTAAGATGGCTTTCTTTTTTTTTTAATTTGATTACATGTACAATTCATATACCAACCTGTACAAAACTTTTTTTTTAAAATAAGAAAAAGAGGTTGATTATACAGACGTGGAACCCCGTCATTATTCCGTGCCAGGAGATAGAAACGTTCAGTTGGTTCCACAAAGTAAGTTATAGACAAGTAACTACAATATTCGGTCGTTGGCCCTTGGTTTTGCCGCACAATATTAGCGATTTTACAATCTCGACTTGGAGATATTTTAAAACTAATTTACACACCATATACATTGTAAGAAAAATATGATGCTTCAACTTTGTGCATTCCAAAAATGTAGTTAACAGAATAGCATTCGAGACACTTACAATTTTACAATTGACATACAAAGTAGTACAAAGTAAGATGATGTAATCTCAACCGGCGCAGCCGCTCAAAACCACGCTTTAGCTGCATGGATTGCAAGTTTACTTCATAAGTACGTCCTACAAAGCCTCCCTTTCCCCCGGCAACAAAGGGAAAAAACAGTAAAAGGCAGATTATGTGATCGTTAAGTCGGCGCTGCTATCGCTTTCTGGAGCAGAAAAATAACCCTACAACCTCAGTTAGGATCCGTCTAACTTCATTGGGGAGGTTAGTTTCTGCAATTTTCTTGTGTTGTGTTCAGTGCCCCCAACTACCGAATCCTATCTCCTGTTTGTACCGGTTAGTCAGAACGTTAGCTTTCCTGGTAAGTTTTGACAGAACAGTGTACAGTCCATTTAGATGATAATGGAATTGTTTCTGCAAGTCTTCTTCTCCTTCCGCTTCATCCCCCCTAATGTCCACGGTGGTGACTTTGTCTTTCTTTCTGTCGTCCAGTTGCACCACACCCCACTCTACGTCGGTCTTGATGGATTTGAGCAAAACGTAGTAGCTGTACATGTCCCTCTGGTCGGAGTAGAAGTTTGATGCTCCACTGCTGCTGACGCCGTTAACTTCGCTTTTATCCTTGTCGTCAAGTGGAACATCCCGCAAAAGGCTGGGCACCATTACAGTCTGGTCCATATTATTGACAGCGCCGATAAACTTGTTCATGGCGTTGAACAGCGAGTGCTTTTGGTTGTAAGAATCCACAATTTGCATCATCGTGGCTGAGGGTTGTGCTCGCTTTTTGTGTCTTTCCTGGTGGAATCACTCGATCGGGGGGAAGGGAGGAGGGGAAGAGTTTGCAACTTTCTTCCTTCCGCAGCGCCTGCCTCTCGACTCGCCGATATGCACTGCGACGAGCCCACTTCCTCAACGGCCTTATAAAGGTATTACTTAGCAAAGGAGGTCGGAACCTGCTATAGGATGACCTGGACGCCGGGCGCCGACCCAAATGCTGTAAGCGCCTCCCTTTTCCCCGCCGGCCGGCGCTGCCCCTTTCATACTCTCATTAGGTCTCTGACGGGGAGAGTCGCGATGGAGAGGAGGAGAGGAGAGGAGCGGCGGCGGCTGCTGCTGCTGCGCGCGATCCCGGGCAACGCCCCGTCGCCTGGCAACAAATCAGACCCGGCCATTGTGACATCGACCTCACCTTTTCGGTTCCACCCAATCGGGTTCCGCTTCCTTTGTGCCGTCCGCTCCATTGGCGTCGGGGCCGCCGGTGCGCGCGAGCGCGCGCGCGCGTGCGTCACTGCAGCGCCCGGCAACAGGGGCTGAGCCGTCACTGTGAGTGACAGGAGCAGCTGCTGGGAGCGGCTCCTCCAGCCACAGGCGCTGCTCTCCCCCTGTGGGGGGAGGTGGTTGGGAGGGGGTTTTCTTACGTTGCACACATCTGCATTTCAAATTATACGGCATCCAATTCAATTTTTTAATTTTTTTAAGAAAGGGTTCAAAGGAACACTGTTTTGCTGTTGGCAAATTTGAAAGGGAATCGCATGTCAACCGACTCTGCCCGGAGCAGTTATTCAGTGTTAACCTTTTAATTGAGTGTAAAATTAAAGATTAACCAAAGGAAGCAAAACACCTTCTTATCGTGTGTGTGTGTGTGTGTGTGTGTGTGTGCAAAAAAAAAACCCAACTGGTTTTCAACTTTAGGTCTGAGGCCTCCAGGCTTTCTGTTCTAAAGGAGATTCAAAAAGTCAGCATCCCTCGTATCCAAATGATCGGCTTAGCCGATGACATTGAAGGTCGCAGGAAGACCATGAGAGTTTTCACCCGACCTAAGAGATACTGAAGGCTGCAGAGAGTGCGGTTGCATGTAACCTTAGGGACTCATTCACACGCGCCATGTTTTAATTTGCTCAATTTCTGCACCTTCAATGTGTGGAATCATCGCTCAACAGCAACAAATTACATTTGATTAGCACCTTTCCCGTGGAGGCTGGATAGTCAGGGATTTAGACCCAAGCAGGGTTCAGGAGGGAGGGAGGGCAGGGATACGTGGGTGGCTGAAGGCGTGGTTGAAGAGGAGGGTCTTGAGAAACGCCTTGGAGGAGGCAAGGGAGAAAGCAGGGCAAAGGGACTGGGAGAAAGTTCCAAAAGGTGGGGGCAGAGAGGATGAAGGACTGACTGCCAATGGGTAGGGATTTGTATATGGAATAGGGGCAGGAGAATGGTGTCAATATGCTTTTAGCTGGTTAAGCTCCATCTGTACCTCAATGCACCTTCTGAGATCTGCAAGCCTTTAGATTTCACCAACCTGTGTGAACACTGCAGATTTAGGCGATGAGGGTGATTTGCTCCAGGGACAGTCTGCGTATTCCATTTCGGACACAAGGAAATTTCAATGTGTAGGTTTCAATACATATGTGGAACTCTTATTCTGATTTGGGTACTCTTTACCATTGTGTTGGTTTCTGCATGTGTCAGATACCCTCACTGTCCAATAAAAAGTGTTTTATTCCAAGAAGTCAAACCAAGAAAATGTTAAGTTATTGATCTAGACCCCTCTCTGCATGAGTGTACTATCCGCCATTCCAGAACCAGGCTCACCACAATCCTATCTTTCTCTATCCCCCCCCCACGCACACACGCATACATACATACTTGTCCTCTTTTTCTTTATTATCTTCTTTTTGTCCTGCTTTGATTTTTGAAATTTCCTCTTCCATTCATGTGAATTTAATTGTAAATGTAACTATAATTTGTCCAGGCTAATATTCCTCCCTAAATGAAATTCAGCTAAAAATCCAAATTACTTGGTTGCTCAGCTCAGTGTTGGTTGTAAGATATTGCTGGAGCAAATTGTACTAGTCGTCACATTTGGGTACATAACAACATTTACTGCATTCTGTTTTTTTGAGGCCCTTTGAAATGTTTCAATGTGAAAAGATGTTCTCTTTAATACAGGTATTTATTGTTATTTTATTCGAGACCATCATCTCTCTTTGTCAAACCTAGGGCTCATCTGCCTTGTAATTTATGTGAATGTTAGAGATTTCTTTGTCACAATCTTAAAGGAAAGTGGAGAGTTTCTCCCACGTTTTCTGGATAACATTCCTCCTCATCCAAATTCACTGCAAACTTTCAGATTTATTCACTACTCAGCTCTTTGTTTGTGGGATGTTTCTCGTGCGAATTAGCTATCACATTAGGCCACATAACATTCATTTCATTTCTAATTATTCTTAGTTTGTGAAGTGTTTCAAGGCATTTAATCTACGTGATAAGCATGACAAGTTTTTTTTCTCATTGGCAATCTTAGCAGTCCAATTATATCTCAGGGAGATGAATAAATCATTAGTGGTACAGCAACGGTTAAAACGAGAACAGCAAATCTTAAAAGGAGCACACTGAAGTATTTGTCCATGCATTCCTTAATAGCCACTGTTTGCTTCTCTCAAAATCTGTTGCTTTTCATTCAAAAGGCCACTGCTACCTCCTGCTGTTCTCCCACACAAATACAAGTATATCAAAAATTAGTAACCTGTTCAGGTACATTATTGATCCCAATTGAATCTGTTTTTTTATTTATTTTGAGAGATATTCACACCCAACACTGAAGAGTTGTGAAAAATCCAAGTTTCTTCCCAAATCAGAAACAGAAGATTTGCTTCAGCTCCACGTGCACCTAATACTTTCCAGAATTAGGTAAGCGGGATGTGTCCCTCCAGGGAGAGAGAGCACATTCCATTCCAACAATCTATCTCTGGGATTTCCATGTGTGGGTGGGATGCATGGAATTCTCAGTTTGGTTTGGATACTCTTAAGCATGGTGATGTGTTACCGCATCGGTCAGACACCTGGCTGACAAAAAAAAAGATCTGCACTATGATGTGTATAAATCAAACAGTACTGCGAGCTCCTATTGTGCACTTCTCTTGCATGGTGGGAATACACCACTAGTGTATTCTTGCTTGTTGAACCATCTCCCAGGTAGTATTGACAAAGGATTGTGTCTCTTACGAGCAGAGATGTTCTTGTTGAACTATTAATCAGATAGTGCTATCAACTAAAACTCCAGCTGCAAAGATTAAAAGCAGCATTAATAATTATTTAGTAAACTCGGGCATTGATTAGTTTTAGAGAAATTTGTATCTTGCCTTTTCTCATCCCTATACATTTTTCTCAAATCTTGCTGTGTTCCCAAGAACCATTAGGGTTCTTTGCATTTGTAATACTGCATCCCTTTTAATGCCACATAGTTTACAAGATTTACAAGTTATTCACTTCTGTGGATAGCAAGTACCATGTGTAACACAAGTTTGTCCTCCAACTTTCCCTATCTCCCTATAATTAGTTACTGTTAAACAATAAGTGATGATAAATCACAGTATAGCATGTTAGCAGTTTGAAATGATGTGTTCAACTTACATTAGGTTTCTCTTTCAGAGTTTCCTTAATCAGCCAATTCAGATCTATTCCTCAACTGATGTTCACACAAGTACTTCAGCTGAGTTGTGATTTGGTAGAGGAATTCCTATCCTTTGTTAATTCATTATATTGAGAGGAAATAAGCCAGATATTTGACTTTAACCATGAGCCATTGTGGTGGTGGGTGAAAATATTCTTGGGGGGCAGGGGAGGCAGCAAATATTTTTGGGGGGCAGGGAGAGGTGGAGCAAAAAGGTGGCCATAGATGCCACAGTTTGGAGCTGCTTGGAGGACTGGCTGTAGTTCTCAGGGCTCAGGGCTTTCCCCTCCTGGCTCCCCTTAAAGAGGTGAGCTGTAGATAGTTGGGGGGGAATGACTCAATCCCCTTTAGTAGGGTGACCATACCGCCCTAATTTCTGGGGATAGTTCCCGGATGAGGTATTGTGTCCCTGACTAAATTTGCCTTGTCCTGAGTTCAGCAACACATTGAGCAAGAACAATAAAATTCTACAACAGATACACTCCGATACTCAGATAAACTCCTCTTTGACCGTGCTTACGTTCACCTCTCCCCAGCTTGGAGTCAGGCTCTGCCACTGTTAAGCTCTCTGAAATGCTACCCTGCGTGGAGGGCGCTATAAAAGTGCAAGTTGTTGTTCTAGATACACAGATGCACTCATCACTCACCTGGCCTAGACACAGTGGGTCTAATGGCCTTCTTCTGTGCTCTATAATTCTATGATTCAATAATTCTATGATTTTAATCAGCCATTAATCCTACAAATTTCGCCAATACTGCCAACATCAGGAATTGAGGTGAGTTTTACATGTGTCCCTGGATTTGGTTTATGAAATATGGTCACCATACAGGTCTAGCCCTCACCACCCTCCGCCTATCTCAAGAGCCCTAGCATGTAGGATTCAAATTATTAAGCCTCAAGAAAGTTAAGAGATTGAAATGTATTTTCCACAGGGTGGTGGCTGTATTAAAAAGACTCAGAACAAAAATGGTTAATGCTATATGATTCACCCTCAAAAATAACAGAATAGCTATCTGCTTGATTGGAGGATTTAGCGACATGTGCAGATTCAGATGAGTAATTGTCCCATTGGGAATGTGATTTATGTGAAAATGGAATCAGTCAGGGGAAGAGGATGAAATGCAGATGGAAGCAGGCTCAGCTTTGAATAGCAGAGATCTGGGAATAGTTGACTCTTTTGCAATTTTTACTTGATTGTCATTGGGGAGTTTTTGCTTGCACCATGTCGAGTTGGTATGGTGGTCTGCAATAAGGTAGTTTTTACATGAACTGGATTAAGTGGGTTTGATTAACTAAATAGTACTTCAAGTGCTATTGGAGTATGCAACTTCATATAAATCAGTCATAGATGTAACACCCTGTAAAAACCCTGAATGTGGTCACAAGTCTGAATGAGTCAGTCATCATCAACAACAACAATATATTGCATTTATATAGAGCC